TCTTTCTGTTTTTTTGAGTTCTGGGCTAACGTTTTGATTTTGGCCTTTCTTTTTTGGTGTGTACATTTATTTCTATAAATTGACCTCTGAGCACTGTTTTTGGAATGTTGTGTTTTCATTCTAGTTTGATTCTAGGAATTTTCTGATTCCATCTTTGATTTCTTCTATTACCCAGTGTTTTTTAAGCAAGGCATTATTCAGTTTCCATGTATTTGATTTTTTTCCCTTTCTCTTCCTGTTATTGATTTCAACTTTATAGTGTTGTGATCAGAGAAAATGCTTTGTATTATTTCGATGTTTTGGATTTTTTTGAGGCTTGGTTTATGGCCTAAACTGTAGTCTGTTCTGGAGAATGATCCATGTGCGTTGGAAAGGAATGTATACTTTGCTGCTGTTTGGTGGAGTGGTCTGTATGTGTCTGTGAGATCAAGTTGGTTAATTGTGACATTTAGATCTTCTGTATCTTTGTTGAGTTTCTTTATAGCTTTATGTCCTTCACTGAAAGTGATGTGTTGAAGCCTCCTACTGTTATTGTGAAACTGTTTATTTCCCTTTTCAATGCTGGTTTAGTTCATTTCATGTATTTTGGAGCCCTGTCATTGGGTGCATATGTATTTATTATGATTATGTCCTCTTGGTGGATTGACCCTTTAATCATTGTGTAGTGTCCTTCCTTATCATTTGTGTTGGATTTTGTCTTAAAGCCTATTCTATGAGAGATTAATATTGACATTCTTTTTCTTTTTTGGTTATTTTTTGCTTCATATGTTGTTTTCACCCTTTTTTAGTTTATGTCTTTGTTGTAAGCTGTGTCTCTTGTAGACAGGACATTGATGGGTCGTGTTTTTTAAATCCGTTCTTCTACTCTCTGTCTCTTTACTGGTGCATTTAAGCCATTTACATTCAATGTGATTATCAATAGGTATGAATTTACTGTTGACATTTTGTTGTGCTTTTTTGTGATGTTGATGGACTCCTTGTTCCACTTGATTTTCTGTGCTGAGTTCCTTTTGTTTGTGGATTTTCTTTTCATTTCTTTCATTGTTCTTGATTTTGTGTTTACGCATCTTTATGTTTTTCTTCTTTTTTATTTTGATGAGTAGGTTTGTTAACTTTCTTTGTTCTTACCTTGAAATTTACCTTTATCTTCCTAAGCTTAAAGCAGTCTTTTATTTCTTGATATTGCCTTGACTTCCTCTCCATATGAAAGTTCTCTAACTACTCCATTTACTCCCCCTTTTTGTTTTGACATTGTTGTCATTTATAGATTGACATCTCTGGTTCCCGGTTGTCAGTCTTTTAGCTTTGTTTTATTTTTGGGAGTTCTTATTTGGGTTGGTATCTGGCTGATGATGTCCTGTGTCCTAATCACAGATTGTCTGATTTTATTGCTTCTCTGTCCAAAGGAGTCCCTTTAATATTTCTTTTAAGGTTGGTCTGGTTTTTACAAATTTCCTTAACTTCTGTTTATCTGGAAATGTCCTAATTTTGCCATTGTATTTGAGAGACAGTTTTGCTGGATATATACTTCTTGGCTGACAGTTTTTTTCTTTCATGGTTTTATATATGTCATCCCATTGCTTTCTTGCCTGCATTGTTTCTGCGAAGTAATCAGAACTTAGCCTTATTGGTTCCCTTTGTAGGTGACTTCGTTTTTCCTGAGCTGCTTTCAGGATTCTTTCTTGTCTTTGATTTTGGCCAGTTATGTCTTGGTGACTTCCTTTTGGAGTCTGTCCCGTATGGTGTTCATTCAGCTTTTTGGATGGATTTCTTCCCATCTAGGAGTCAGAATTGACTCGATGGCAATGGGTTCATAATATTAGGGACGTTTTCTGCTAGCAAATGTTCAACAGTTCTGTCTGTGTTTTTTTTTTTTTTTTTTTTCTCCCCCTGTTCTGGAATTCTGATTATGCATAAATTTTTCCTCTTGATATTGTTCCACATAATTCTTGGGCTTTATTTTTCTTCATCTTTTTTCTAATTTTTCCTCAAACAAATTGGTGTCAAGGGATTTGTCCTCTATTTCACAGATTCTGTATTCCATTGATTCCATTCTGCTCCTATGTCTTACTGAGTTGTCTATTTGTGATGTATTATTGTTAATCTTTTGGATTTATAGTTGCTGTTTTTGTATGGTTTCTAATTGTCTTTATTTTGTCACTTCATTCTTGTGTTGTTTTCCTGAATTCTGTTAATAATTTGTGTTTTCCATGGTTTTGTCTGTGTTTTCCTTGATCCCTTTCTGATATCTTGGAGAATCCTATGTATTTACTCTTTTGAATTCCTTATGAGGTAGTTTCATTACTGTTTCTTCCTTCGGAAGGTTTTCTGGTTCTTTATTTTGGTCATTTGCTGGAGCCATCTTGTCCCTGCTTCTTTATGTGATTTGATAACTGTCTTTTGTCTCCGAGGCATTAAAGTGTTAGTATATTTACTTATTTATTGTATGTTTGTCTGCTGCATCCTGATTTTTTGTTTTGTTTTGGTATATCCAAGTAGACAGTGCGTGTGTGCTACTCTGGCCGCTAGTCTGGCCAGACTGGAGCTCACACCACCAGTCTCAGGTGGTGGGGCAGCAGTAGGGTATGTGAGCACAGTCTGTTTGCTGGTGTTGTGGGGCAGCTGAGGATGTAGCTGGCGTTGCTGGTGAGGTGATGTGTCTGTCCGGCTGGTCACTTGGTCGAGGGTACAGGGAGTATTCTCACTGGTTGCTGGTTTGGGTGCTGGGTGGTTGGGGAGGGTGTCTGGGTGGTTGGTCAGCAAGTGGGTGGTACGGAAACTGTTACTGATGGTCCCAGGCGAGCAGGGCGGCACGGGGGTGGTTGGAGCGGGCACAAGCCTCTGGTTGTGGGGCGGTGCAGGGAGGGGTGAGGCAGGAAGGATGTTGCCAGTCCACAGGTGCCTGCTAGGAGGGCGTGCCTCTGTCCACTAGAGCACAACACGGGGGAGGGTGTGCCGTTCGCCCTTGGGCCCCTGGCACAGGCGGCTGGAGGGAGTAGGAGGTGTCGCTGGTCTGTAGGCCCCCTGCACAGGTGGCTGAGTGTAGGAGCAGGCGCCTCTGTTCTGCAGGCTCCTGCCTCAGTGGCTGAGAGGAGCATTGGTGCTGCCGGTCATAGTACCTTCAGTGTGGATGGCTGGGTGTAGGAGCAGGCGCTGCCAGTCCTCGGGCCCCTGGCGCAGTTGGCTGGGTGGAAGAGGGGGGTGCAGCTGGTACCTGGGGCGCTGGCAGCCAGGCAGAGAAGTGGGTGCTGCTGGACTGCAGGTCCTAGCCTGGGGGGCTGGGCTTAGGTGTAGGCTTCACCGGACCACAGACTCCTGGCATGGGTGGGTAGGCAGAAGAGGGGTCACTGCCTGTACACCGGCTCCCAGCTTAGGTGGCTGAGGGGAGAAGCAGGCGCCTCCAGATCACAGGCTTCCAGTGTGGCTGAGTGGGTGGAAGAGGGTACGCCACCAGTTAATGGGCCCCTGGCATGGGTGGCTAGGTGGAGAAGTGGGCACTGCCATTCCACAGACCCCTGGCACTGGTGGCAGAGCGGACTGCAGTCACATACGGGGGTGGTGAGGGAATGTCGCAGGTCCACAGGTCTCCAGCATGGGAGTCTTGGAGGGCACTGTGGGTGAGTGCTCTTAACCTCCACAGCGTGGGAAGCCCTCCTGTCTGTCTCAGGACATGGGTGCAGGGTCTTTCCTGCTTGGCTGCGCCAGGTGATGGGGGCTTTGGTTACGAATGTCACTTTCTTTGTTTCAGTATGGCCGCACTGTGCGGGTTTGGCTGGTAGGCGCCAATGCTGTAATTCTCCTTGTCTGTTGCTTTTGTATAGTCTCTCCTTCCATTTGGCACTTAATCCGATTCTTCAGCCTTGCCTTTGATGTTCAGGGTTCCAAAGTTGTCATCTATATCCGATTCAGTTGTTTTCTCGGGTCTTTGTTGTAAGAGGGACGTTATGAGGCATCTGACTACACTGCTGTCTTGAACCACCACCTCTGACTGAACAGATGTAACAGCCTGAGGATGGCTGTGTCCCCCTGCCTAACGGTGATGTTGTCAGTGCCCAGGTTAAACTCCACGCTCAGTATTACCTCATTTGATATGAGTATAGAATATAGTTCTCATTTTATAGATGAAACTGAGGCTAGGTAAGTTAGCTTATTCAAGATCACATGTTATAAGCATCAGGCTAGGATTTGAATCCAAGGTGCTTAACCCCAAAGCCTTCTCTTAACTACTGTATTGGGGGAGGAGAGAAGCTGAATTTATTGTTTTGTTTTAGATATGTCTAATTTGTATATTTTATATGGTATCAGGTGGATAGTCTCAGACAGGTTATAGAGAGGGCATTAAAATTCAGGATGACAGTTGTTAACTTACAAAGTAAAATACTACATTCCTAGACCCAAACTTATATTTGGACTGTGCTTTGCATTCTGGGATAGCCAACAAAATAGGCTCACTGTTTCTGTCTTTAAGATAAATAAAATTTAAGTAGAAAGAAAGAGAGGGGAAGAGAGAGGGAGGGGAGGAGGGAGAGATAGGAGTCCCTGGGTGGTGCAAACAGTTAAGCTCTTGACTACTAGCCGAAAGGTTGGCTGTTCAAACCCACCCATGGGTGCTCGGAAGACAGCCTGGTGATCTACTCCAAAAGATCACAGCCATTGAAAACTGTGGAGCAGTTTTACTCTGCACACATTGGGTTGCCACGAGTCACTGGAAGGCACCTAACAGCAATATATATACGTATGTTTGTGTATGTCCATCTGTCGTGTCCATGTACATCTATAGCATAAAGCATTGGATTGAAGTACAGGTTATGAAGAGTGTCACATCTGACTGTCCTTAGTGTTGCATTTGCTTGTAAGAACGTGATGTAGTTTACAACAATGCCACAATAGCCCAGATGTTTTAAATGAAAAAAGACTGAATGTGCATTAATTTTCCCAATTGTTCCGATTTTGCATTCTGGTGAAAATAGAGACGAAAGTGCTTTGTTTTTTCCTTGCAGGTTGTGAAGCTCTCTGAAATAGTGACCTTAGCCAAGCAAGCTCAGGTGGATGTGAAATTTCAGCTGCCCCTCTGATCTGACAGCCCAGTGGATGGCTGCAGGTGTTAAATGTGCCATACGCATTGAAAATACTGTGTTCTGTATTATTGTTCCTTTTCTTTTTAGTGTGTGGAGGTTGTAATTGCCATCCAGGCATACAGACTTTTAAAAGCATTTTGTCTGCATTTAATTCCACTGTTCAGAATGAGCTGTTTGTATAAAGAATGTACGATGCAGTTATATAGTTTCTTTTGTTGCAACCTTCTTTTCTGCTTCTCCTACAGAATGTTGCTTGAGATATGCCTGTGTATTAATATTGGATGCAAAGTTCTTCATTGATAAGAGTCCTATGAATAAAATAAGATATGAAGATAAAGCTTTATTCTTTAGTCTTAGAAACATATCTAATAACTAGCCTCTTTAGTAGAGTACTGTATTAAAAGTGTTTTATATACAGAGTTGTTATCTTCATCACCAAATACAACAAGCTAATTATATCAGTCACTATTTATAAAGTTTTCAAACACTCCCCAGAATATTCTTTTATGTATTTCAGTGAAGTAACTTGTTAATTATTTGAACATTGTTTTAATCACTACAAAACATTGATAACTGCAAGTCTTCATGATTCTGTGGTATTATTAAGAAGCACCTGTAGGTTTGTATCAAATAAAGGCATATTTACTAAGGACTTGGCAGACAAAATTAAGAATGTCAATTTATGTTAATAAAAATCTCCCAAATGTGATTTGGATTAATGTGGTTTTTTTTTTCTTTCCTTTGAAGTAAGCATAACAGAAGTGGATGTGTTCATCATTGTAGTGAACAGCTCTGAAGAGCTGACTGTGTACTTGGGTATGACCAGTATGTATTATAAAGCTGCCTACAGTTATTTCACTGGCATTCTGCTGTTTGTGTATCCCATCAGGTACATTCTCTAAAGAAAACAAACACCTTGTCCTTCGTGTGATACCATAGAAGGTAATATCGCCCAAGCAGTGGGGTATTTAGTCTTCCTGGTGAATTAAAAAACTTCTACCTATTTTGATGTTCTTAAGTGTGATCAGAGTATATACTATGAGAGGCAGCATAGCATAGTGATTGTGAGATAGACCACCTGGTTTGAATCTTGTCTTCACCATTTTCTAGACACGTGAGTTTGGGCAAGTTCCTTAATCTCAGTGTACCTGAGTTTCCTTAGCTCGTTTCTTATCCTTATTAGAATTATTTAGTTATCTATTTTCCTGTCTGAGGGAGACTTATATATAGAGAATATATAAAACATATATTCAGTCCAACTAAGTGTGTGTGTGTATATATATGTGTGTGTATATATATATATATAACATCTCTGTGTTTTATCTTACCTTGTCTTATGTATCTTCCCTGTCCATACATTAAAAGACCAAATCAGAGATATAAACCATTTAAAATTATGATACAGTTATAATTAAAAGTCCTAGCTTTTAACTTTTAATTAAAAAAAATTTTTTTAAATTCTTTCCAAAGGATGCCAGGCAATGATTAGTTAAGGGAAGGCTGGGATTTGTATTATTAATTGAGATCTAGTCAGGAATTGGAAATCCTGGTGGCATAGTGATTAAGTGGTATGGCTGCTAACCAAAAGGTCGGCAGTTCGAATCTACCAGACACTCCTTGGAAACTCTATGGGGCAGTTCTACTCTGTCCTGTAGGGTAGCCATGAGTCGGAATCGACTCGATGGCAGTGGGTTTTGGTTTAGTCAGGAATTAGGAGTCCCTGGGTGACACAAATGGTTAAGTGCTTGGCTACTGACTGAAAGGTTGGCCGTTCAAATCCACCCAGAAGCACCTTGGAAGAAAGGCCTAGTGATCTACTTCGAAAAGGTCATGGCCATTGAAAACCCTAGGGAGCAGAGTCCTACTGTGAGACATACAGGGTCACCATAAGTTGGAATAGACTAAATAGCAACTGTTTGTTTTTTTTAAGTCAGGAATTAAAAACAATACTTGATATTTCAGAGAGAACAGAACACAAGCAATTGATAATACTGATTTAGATATCTATTGTATAACAAATTACCCCAAAACTTAACGAGTTTTAAACAACATTTATCTCAGTTTCTGTGGGTTAGGAATTTGGGCGCAGTTTAGCTGGGTGGTTCTGGCTTGATGGGGCTGGATGGCTCACTCACATGCCTGTTGGCAAAAGGCCTCAGTTCCTTACCATGTGGCCTCTCCAGAGGCTGCTTGAGTGTCCTTGTGACATGGCAGCGGGCTTCCCCCTGAGCAAGGGATCCATGGGAGCAAGGAGGAAACCACATTGTGTTTCGTGTCCTAATTGCCCGTATTTATCACACTGTCAACCTCTGCCACACTGTTCATTAGAAATGAGTCTCTGTGTCTAGCCCACATGTGGAGGGAAATTAGGCTCCACCTCTTGAACGGAGAGGTACCAAAACATTTGAGGATGTAATTGAAAACCACCACAACTCATGATGGGAGGCTGAAAGAGCAAACGATGCTATGTTAACTCAGAGACTGGCAGCTGGTGGGACTGAGGTAGGAACCAGAACCTAGGAGCTTAGAAGTCCTCTGATGCTTGGACCACTGAGAGGAGGAGTGCCTTGGCTGCTGGTGTCCAAACCCTGCGGGATCAGGGAAAACAACAAGAATATAGGGCAAGGGGAGTCCAGGAAAGAATACTTCATGGATAGAGTGACTGATAGTATCATATACTGCTAAGAAGTTAAGTAAGGACTAAAATGTATCCGCTGGAATTGAACTGATACAACTAATGTTGGCAGGAATGATGACAGTGAAATGATGGGAGAGGAAGTCAGATTATTATGGAGAATGGAGTTGCTGGTAGATGCTTACACACCTCATCCTCCATGTATACACACTCTTAAATAGTTTTTATGCATGGCTGATAGTTCCTTCCCTACACCCCTACCGGGTTCATATAAAAAAAGCCTGCTTTAACATTTGAATTCTCTAAATTGAGTAGATCCATGTAGACTACTCCAATTTCTACATAGAATATAACCAGCTGTGACTATTACATCATATTTACAGTTGCAGAGCCCAAGACACTAAGACTACTTGTTACTGGCACTTTGTAGCAGACAAATTTTTAAAAATCTACACGTTAAGGGAGAAACCAAACAAAAACCAAAAACAAAGGAAAAAACAACCTTCAACCCCAGAAGGACATTGAAGATGTTAGTATTTTGTTTCTGTCTGAGGAAGCATTCTATTTAAAGCAGTTTTAAAATGTTAGCTGACAGTGGGTTAAGTGTGGAGGGCTGTAACTAAAATACTCTTTTGTCCCATTGAAACGTAAAGGGGTGAGAAAAGTCCTGTAGTAAAATCAATTTTCAGATTTATGTGATTTAACATGTAGTAATAAAAAACAAATAAGATTTAGAGGTTTGCAATGTGTTCTAGACTGAGTTCTCTAGAGAAGCAAAACCAGTAAAGCATATATATAGAGAGAGAGATTTATATCAAGGAAATGGCTCACGCGGTTGTAGAGGCTGGAATGTCAGGATGGAGGTTTCTCCCGATTCATGTAGCCGCAGGGGCTGGCGAACTCAAGATTGGCAGGTCAGAGAGCAGGGCTTTTGCTCACAGACTGCGAAGATCGTTGAATCCCAAGATTGGCAGGCAAGACTGCAGGTAAGCTGCTAGCTCAAGTTCCAAGAACTGGAGGTCAGATGAACAGGAGCCAGCTGCAGGATCCAGTACGAGCGAAAAGCCCCCAAGCCTTGCCAGGGTGTCCACTTATATTCAATGCAGGCTACATGCCAAGGGAAACTCCCTTTCAACTGGTTGGCTAGTCACAGCAGATCCCATCATGGGGGCGATCACATATCAAATCTCAACAGGGAAGTGATCACAATGTTATACAACTGCCAAACCACTGAGAATCATGGCCCAGCCAAGTTGACACATAATCTTAACCATCACACAATGTAAAATGAGGAGTCCCTGGGTGGCACAAATGGTTGAGGCCTCGACAACTAGCAAAAAGGTTGGTAGTTTGAACCCACCCGGAGGAGCCTCAGAAGACACCTGGCGATCTTCTGAAAGGTCACAGCCTTAAAAACCCTACGGAGCAGTTCTACTCTGTCTCCATGAGTCAAAATTGGTTCAATAGCAAACTAACAATGATGTGAAATGAAGAAAGGTAAAAGGTTGGTAAATCCATTTTTGTTTGAAGTTTGATTGAAAATAAAGGGATAATAATTTAAAAGTTGCTGTCTAAAGTGACAGCTTGAAGATGAGAAAGCTGGGACATGAAGGAGTGTCAGTGATGGTACAGAAGAGAGTTGAGATAATAAATCCATGTGCCCTTGATCACCAGGATTTGCCCACTGTCTGAATGTTCTTAGGATTGAAGCTATGGCAGTCGTCGTTCTCCTTTTCAGCTAGCTTCTGTCCGCTTCTTTTTCCAGTCTGAAGAAATCTAAGGGCCTTTGTTATTCATGGAGCTCTGGTGGCACAGTTAAGAGCTACAGCTGCTAACCAAAAGGTCGGCTGTTCGAATCCACCAGCTGTTCCTTGGAAACCCTATGGGGCAGTTCTACTCTGTCTGTAGAGTTGCTATGAATTGGAATCGACTCGATGGCAACAGGTTTGGTTTTTGGTTTTGTTTTTCATGATATTGCATCACAAGGAGATAAGACTATGGACAAAATTTTTATTCACAAGTAAGTAGTTTCTGTTTTCTATTTCTTTCAATTTTGTCTGTACAGTTTGGTTTAGTGTTGGGCAGCCTTGCCACGCATGCCATCCCCATTTGCCTTCCATCACTAAACAGTCTCACTGTCAGTCAGCAGGAGACTGTTTTATTACATAACCATCCATTTTGGAAAAGTAAGACTGGAAGGGCCCACCTCACTGATATTCAGCCTGTAGGAGTTTGATTTTTGCCTCCGCATCAGCTCCACTGTCATTCCATCATTATAGTCTTCATTCCTTTGACTTTAGCCTTCAGGTTCCCTACATGAAGAAGCAAGTATATGAGGACCCCTGATTTCATCTTATCCTGTCTGGTGGGCAGAATAACGACCTCTTCCATCACAGATGGTCACGCCCTATCCCGAGACCTGGGCATATATCACAAGGCAAGGAGACTTTGCAGATGTAATTAAAATTGTGGCTCTTAAAATAGGGAGATTATTCTGCATTATCTGTTCAGGCCCAACCTAATCACCTGAGCCCTTAAAAGCAGAAAACATTCTCTAGCTCGAGGCAAGAGATTCCAAGCGGGAGGAGTCAATGCACCATTGCTGGCTGTTAGCTAAGGGCGGCCCTCAGCTGACAGCCAGCAAGGGGATGGGGCATCAGTCGAACCACCACTGGGAACTGAATTCTGCCAACAGAATGAGTTTGGAAATGGATTCTTCCCAGAGCGTCCTGATGTGAGCACAGCCAGCTGACACTGTGGTTTGGGTTTCATGAGACTCTGAGCAGAGAAACAAGTGGAGCCCACTGGACTTCTGACCTATAGAACTGTGCGATAATAGATTTGTGTTGTTGTAAGTTGCTAAGTTGGTGATGATTTTGTTATGGCAGGAATAGGAAACTAGTACACTGCCATGTCTATACTGCTACATAAAAGTTACATAAGCCAGCTCTCCTCAAACTACCTGAGGTGAAGGATTATTGTTAAAAATTTCCAATCTGTCATCATGGACTGATACTTCTATAAAATACAATAAAAAAGTTAGTAGAAAAATGAAGCTTAAAAAAGCATACAAA